AGTCCCTTTAGCCTGAATTTTTTTTATATCTACTCAAAAGTTTACAAAACCAATTTATTTAACATTCTGTTATGCTAGCCTACATATACTTTCAATTTTACACATAATACTAGGCAGCTCCAGGATAGATGGTTTAAAGACAAATTAGGCACATTTCTTTATGGAATTTCATCAAACATCAATTTCATTCAATTCTTACAACTAAGACTTACCACTATGGTGCTGCATTTTGTCACAGCCTCGATCTTTGTTGTAAGCTGAAGGGCAATTTGATATTAAATGCCATGTGAAGGCTTACTTTTGGACGAATTACTTAAACAGTCGTTGCAAAGAGGTGATTGTTTTGCACAGTACATCCGTTTCTACGATGTTTAACTTTTATTACTGCATGTGAGGCAGTGGAATTAATCAAATGAGACAGGGGAGTAAAATGTATTTTCCGTTATTTTCCAATGAATTACGTTAAGATTGTCTAAAGCCGTGAATACGTCACTACTGTAGTCAGGTGTAACAAGTAATGTTACCAATTTAGAAAATGTTTAAAAGATCTGTAACTATATACATAGTTAACATCTGTAACTAAATATTTCAGCATGGTGCTTGTATTTCGCTATGGATGTGGAACCACAAAAGGCCCCGCCTGTTTCACCGACTGTGCTGACCACATGATGAACGAAACCTGCCCGCTGACGACGCCAAAACCACCCGACGTCATCACATTCACTGGGTTTAACGAGCGAAAATGTCAAACTCTTGATGCCAATGGAACCGCGATCAGTCTAAACTGCACAACCGGTGCGTCCGCGGCATTACCGTCAACGACGGAAAATGAAACAACCGAATCGACAGTTACAACTACGTCGCCAACAACAACAACAAAACCTACAACAACAACAACTGCAACAGAAACAACAACTTCTACGGCAACAACAACAACAACAACACAGGAATCTACGTCAGAAAGTTTATCTACCTCACAAACTGTCTCATCAAACGTTATAAGCACAATTATTGACACTCATTTGACCAAAAGTACTAAAATCCAGTCAACAAAACCGCATGTGCGAAACACTGTACCGGAATCGACGAAAAACCATTCTTCTGGCCTTAAAAATGACACTGTTACGCCATCGACTACCCCGAGTGAGGGGGTTTCAAGTGTAGCAGTAGATCCAGCGGCTTACTGGCCCGGGATTGTGGGAGGTGTCCTCGGAGGGGTAGCCGTATTTGCTGCCGCAGGATTCATCTGTTACTGGAATAGGCAAAAGTAAATAACTTTAAAAGAATTTTTATAAGAATTTAAGTAAATAATTTGAATTAGAATTTATTTTTTACGTTACCTTAATTTGTATTTTCTCTATTGGCATTGGAAAAAGTATTTTTAATAATTGTATCAAAAAAAATGCGAGATGAAATATTTTTGAATGATAGTCTCTCGCAAGAGAATTTTTTTTTTTAAAAAGCGTTTTGCAACATACAGTTATTGACAGTATAAAAATGTAAACTGTAAATTTGGCTAATGGACAAATAACGCCCTTATATTTGGTTGTCTTTGATTTGGCGATGCAAATTTTACAGATTTTGTTGAACTTCAGTCGAATTGTAATATTTTTGGCGCAAAGTTACATTTGGTGCGATTCAAAGAGCAAACGACAATATTTGCAAATGCATAAAACGTTGTGTGATTTTTCCCCTCATTTTTCTTTCAGAAAACTTCAAAAAAGACAAGAGATATACAACGTTAATCCAAAAATATTGAGAAATTTTGAAGAATTCGAAGAAAATGGCACTTCCGGTAGAGCAGACGTTCCCATGGAAACAGAACAATACTAAAAAATGTGTAAAAATATTTCATGTAAATAGTGTACTATATTTTGCGATAATGTTATATATATGTAAAGAATTTATTTACCATATTGTTGAAAATAAATATCAATATACTAGTGTGGTGTTGGTATTTTTGTTGTTGTTGTTGGGTTTTTTAGCTCACCTGAGGACAATGTCCTCAAGCCAAGGTGAGCTTTTGTGGTGGCCCATTGTCCGGCGTGCGTGCGTGCATGCATCCGTCAACAATTTCTTTAAACAACTTCTCCTCCTAAACCACTTGGCCAAAATTGTTGAAACTTTGCAGGGATGTTTCTTGCATGAAGCTCTACCAAATTTGTTCAAAGAATTAAATTCCGTAAAGAACTCTGGTTGCCATGGCAACCGAAATTGTTTTTTTAATCTTAAAAAAATCTTGTAAAAACCGAAAGAGCTAGAGCTTAGATATTTTGCATGAAACATCTTCTAGTAGATGTCTACCAAGTTTGTTCAATTGAAAGCCATGGGCTCAAAATTAGCCCCGCCACAAAATCCATTGATTTTCCTTATATGTATATAGCAAACTTAAAAAAATCTTGTGAAAATCAAAAAGAGGTAGAGCTTAGATATCGACATGAAACATGTTCTATGTTCGTTGAAATAAAACCCCTAGGGTCAAAACGTTCAATCCCCAGCCAGGTCAATAATTGTTTCTCTTCTCTTTTTCTGTCATCTTTTTATTAGCTCACCTCTCACTTAGTGACAGGCTGAAATGTTTAATAGAATGACTGTCAGAGCTAAAACTAGAAAAACAACAACAACATCTAAACCACTGGTTCAGTTTTGGAATAATTTTACACAAAAATTTCTTTGGTGACAGTACACAAAAATTGTTCAGATTAAGCTGTCCCTTGTTTTCAAATTGTGCTTCTGGGGTGAAAGGGGACTCTTCTTTGACCTTTTAACTCATTTCTCAGGTGAGCGATCCAGGGCACTCTGGGCCCTCTTGTTTTCAATGTAGATTGAAAGATTTAATCAACGTTTCAAGACAAAATTACCAGTTAATAAAGTATTCTGTTAAAGGCTCAATATCCTCAGAAATCCAATTTTTTTTTAAATTCTGTAGAAATGTCAGATATATATTTAAAAAAAAAAAAAAAAAAAAAAAAAAAACATATATTAATAATGTTTAATATATTTAATAATGTTTATATATAATGGATTAAGTGCATGTTAGATGTTTTACAACTAAAAAAGTAGCACCTAACATGCAGTTATGTGTCTTAAAGGCATCAAAATGTAAACAAAATATAATTTTGATTCAAATCAAAATACTTATCATAATTATACCAGGTGCCAACAGAGCTAAAGATTCAAAAAATAAATAGTTAATGTATCGCAAATGAGTATGTTTTTGGAAACTGTTACAAGATACCAAACATAAACAGTTTGTTTTTTTTGGTTTTTTTTTTTTGTTTTTTTTTTGAGAAATAAAAATACAAGCATTTCTAAGGCATAATGGGCCTTTAACCTGAGGTATAATGGGCCTTTAGCCGAAGGCATAATGGGCCTTTAACCTAAGGCATAATGGGCCTTTAACCTAAGGCATAATGGGCCTTTAACAGTAAAGAAGAGGATATGAATACGCTTTTTTATCAAGAATGTAAGTTATTCTAATATACGGAAACACTGGTCTGAAAGCTGAAACGCTCTGGTCCGGTGTTTTCTAAGAGATCAAACGATCTTTATTTTATTTACATTGTTTTATAAAACTAAAATTGATCGTATTTTGCTAAAATCAAATGGTACGGTACATAAACAATATGGAAAAAAAAAGATTTGCATAGAAACAAGCCTATTTTGTTATAAAATCAACAAATAATAAAACAAATATAATCGGATAAAACGGATCAATTTTAGGATCAGGATCAGTGTCCATATCTTGTTAAATATAGTGAATTTATTCTAAATTTACATAAACATACTACCAGGTATTTGAAGTTCAATTTTATCAAGTTGACATTAAATATTCAGTCTATGAGGATAAACAATGGAGAATATTTGAGTTTTTAAATTTGATTCTGATCCTTAAATATTAGTGAACACGGGGCCTGAAGTTAAAGCCGAGGTCCCAGTGCATACTCTAGGATTGTATCAATAAAATTGGAATACAATGTATTATTATGTACTGAGAAAAATGAAGAATCTACAGAACTACGATCTACATCCAGGCATTCAAAACAGCGTTATATTACGGTGTTCTGTCTAGAAAGTCGTGACTATGGAAAGCCTGCTGTGGGTCAGATATCCTTTGAAGTAATTGCTCAGTAACAGTAGCTCACAATGAGCACTTCATGAGGCTGAGCAGTTTGAAGTTACAACAATGTCAGAAACTTGTAAAAATGAGACTCTTTAGTCCATATAAATGCAACCAATCTAATGTTATGGTTTCCACTGGGCATAGCTTTTTACAGACAAAAAGTATAATTACAAATGTATAAATGTTTCTTACAGGCAACAACTTTTTCCTCATTTTAACATACCTTCTTCACAGAAGCATCTGTGGATATCTCTCTTTTTTACTTTTGGCTTGTAAAAACAACAGTATGTCCTTTAATAATATCAGAAAGCAGTGCTGTGTTAATCATAAAACGGTGTTCACTTGGCATGTAAGCAAATCAGCAATTAGCAAATAAGCAATTTAGCAATAATTAGCAAATAAGCAAATTGGCAAATAAGCAAATCAGCAATTAATTTAATTAGCAAAAAGCAATTAATGCAGCAGTTAGAAAATAAGCAAATTGGCATGTCCCTACCGACATTCCTTCCATACTATTGTGACAATAAGGATATGCATTAATTAAACATGTATATGTGAAAAACGAAAATGAAAATACTTTAAACGTGTGATCCGTCATTAAAGGGAAGTAACTGATACCGATACTAAATTTCAAATATGCAAGTGAGATTAGTCTCCCTCTTTTTCAAATGCATTTCTGTTTGCTGCAAGGCCAAAGTAAAAACTCGGTTTGTTGCCTATGTGGCTATCAACAATTATACAGATTTCTGTACCTAGGTCTGGTCATTGACTCCTTTTAAGTATGTTATAGTTAAAATCATGTCACACAAAGTATTTCTCCTTAAGATTCAGACATATAAAGTCCTTGTTCAATTCCTGAAAGCATAATGGCAAATAAATGTTAATGGAAAGGAAATAAACATATTTAAATTTCGCTTTTTGTTTCCAAAAGATAGTTTGAAGATACAAGATTCAAACAATAAAAAATGTATACTTAAAAATGAAATTTAGAAAATTCTGGAGCGTAGAAATGTTTGCACTTTGATTAAGAGACAGGACACAAATGTGTTTTATTAATCTAGCCTAGTGAGAAAAAAATCTTTTTTAAAATAAAGGGAAATTAATCCAACTAAAATAGTGTAGTGAAAGTTATCACCCTTTGGTAATGCAGCTAGAATAGTGACAAAACCATACCCTTTAAATTTCTCAGCATTAATAATAAATATGAATTTATCATGGTCAATTTTTTTATTTTTCCCCCGCGCAATCGCAATTTTTACGGCCCTTTCTCTCAATCTTTGGAAAGGACTAATCGGAGAGGAGTTCTGAATGAGTCCTGACTGTTTAAATATTCAAAGAGGTTATTCTAACAAACCAGGACAACATGGTTGTATTACTTTCAATTTGATGAATGTTACCGATGCTTTTAATTTTGTATCTATGAAAAACTTAAATGCCCGAAATAAAATTTTGGTTCTGATTATACAGTGGTAGGACACGAGATTTGTTGCTAAACAATGCTAAAGTCAACGTTTCTCCAAAATGCCCGTATTGTGATATTTTTTTTTTTTTTTTTTTTTTTTTTAATTTCCTTGGCATTGCAGTATCTAAAAGGCACATAAAGCGCAAAAAATGAATATTATTTTATCTCTGAATAATGCGAAACTGACGTTTTACATTTTTATGGATATATTGTGGAAAAAAAACAGCAAAAAACAGCAACAACAAAACATTGAATATGAAGAAAGTTGTTGTAAAAATAGTTTATTTCGTCTTTAATACAAAATATTAAATCAATAAAACTTTAATTTCAGCCAGAAGAAAAGTAAAAATGGTTCGCCTGTATGTTCAATAAATAACGTATTGGAAATTGAATACATATACATGTACATGTATTTATATATAAACAGGGTTGATTACTGTGTGGACTTAGCATACCAGTTTCATTTGCTTGTATATGTGATCGTATAGCAGAACCGTAAGAGATTAACCTTTGCAACAAAAACGTAAGCTCGCAAAACAAAGATATTTAAAGTATACAATAAAAAGGTTATTGACAAAAAGTTTAGAGGCTGGTCTGGCACTCAATTGATTGATTTTAGACTAGCATGATCCCTTTGATATTTGAAAGGGTGAAGAGGAGAGTGCTTGTCGAGGGTTGTTTGTTTTTGGGGTTTTTACGTCACATCGACACAGTATAGGTCATATCGCGACGTTCCAGCTTTACCGGAGGAGGAAGACCTCAGGTGCCCTTCCGTGCATTATTTCAGACACGAACGGGCATCTGAGTAGAACCACCGACGTTCCGTAAGCTAGCTGGATAGCTTCCTCACATGAAAGAATCAAAAGTCCCTATCGGGATTCAAACCCACAGCGGTGAGAGGCAAGTGGTTTGAAGTCAACGACCTTAACCACTCGGCCACGGATGCCCCGCTTGTCGATGGAGGTGAGTTTTATTTTAACATTTATTTATTTTTCCGTTTATTTACCATAGCATTTTGATTGCCTATCTCAAAGAGGTCTTTAACTAAAGTATTATTTGTTTCTATTTTCAAAGTTAGTACTTTGATACAGTAATTGCCAAGATTCCTAGCTCTCCCCGGTTCTTCTGCGTGTCTCGTCCTGAGCATCGATAGATGGGAACTTAGTTTTTTAAGGTCTCGTCTGGACGGCCATTTGTATTGGCAGTGATGGAGGAAGTGATCGAACCTTCAGCCACAGGTTAACTTGTCCGGCGTGTTTCTACTCCAACACGGATCCGCTCCAAGATAATCATACTGGTATCTTCTGTGACACCATTCAGTCATTTTCTCACATGTCCAGGTAAT